CGTCGCTGTATCCAATGAGTGATTGCAGGTGACACATGTCTGCTGTTTTTTTATGTGGACTCCAATACATTGTCCCTCAATAATGGTGTCCTTGATTTCATCAGATGTTAAATTGACATTTGTAATTTTATCTTTCTTTCCTATGATGGTGGCTTCACTGGTACTTAAGTACTTCACGTAATCAAAAACTCTAGTTGTAAGACCCCTGAAAAGATAACTTTTACCACAGTCTACTTGGTTGATGACTTCCTCCCACAAAACAAGTTTGATGCTATGAGTTTAATCGGCTATGATACAATCAACCTTAAAAATCTCTTTTCCATTTCTTAGTACGGCTGTTGTTTTACTGCTTGTTCATTTCGTTGGAATGAACATCAACGTTCTTGTAGAGATCTGCTGAGAGCTTGTTTTACTGTTAGCAGGGATGAGCCAATCTCAGCATTGTACTCAAAATGTGTTGATGTGGGCGAGATTTTTGCTTGCTTCAGGATTTTATACTGATCCTGATTGTTGGAAAAACGTGTGCTTGAACTCTTCTTGTGGCCATAAATTTTCATAGGTGACTTTTGTTGATATGCTTCTTGCGAGTTGACTCTTTTGGAAGGATAAACAGACAGCACGGACCTTTTTGTCTTTGTCTGTCTGAATTAGACACTCGAAATATGGCGTTCTACTATTACAAGCTGTTTTCATTGGACTCAGTGGCTGTACATAGCTCTCCAGTTGTCTGTAAACAAAAGTAAATACTTGAGACTCGAGAGGTAGTGAATACTGGATTTCACATATTATGAATGAGCAAGAAGTTTAAGATAACTGTACAAATAGACAAGTGCGTTGTGGAATATCTAAACAGAGATAGTTGAGTTTCTTATGAGGCGCAATATGCCAATGTGTTACTCTACTCACAGTGTTGCAGGAAGGCTCCCATGGAACGTAATTTTTTTCAATAGCAACTCATTGCTGGAAACTGAAACTAATACCACTGAAGATCTGGGTTGAAATCGACCAAAAGTGAACCAAAATGAAAGCAAAGTTGTCTTTGCTTTGTGCTTTCAGTCTTAAACAGAGCTAAAACTGTTAACGAGGGTAATTTTCTTCTGACGCTCTGCTAAACTGTGCGTCAAATAGTATTATGTCAACATAATCGCCCGCTAATGGATCATGAGCGCTTAGTGTGGCAAACATTCTGGAAAGAACCAGGACTGGAATCGAATGTTGGGTGCCTCCAGTGGAAAATGAAAAGCAAGCCTTTGTTGCTGAGTAGTGGGTCCTTGCTCCACGAGAGATTTGTAAAAGGATGACATACCTGACACAAGAGATGGTACCTTACAATAAAAACTCGTACTGCTTCCTTTTTTAACGCAAACCGCATCGCCAGCCTTTCTTCACTGTAGAGAAAGAATGGTCTTTTGAACCTTAAGCCATCAAAAACAAGCAGAAGCAGAATCATCAATTTCTAAACAAGGTTCGTCACCTTTTGTAGTGGCTTCTATATCATCACTTGACCTTTTCATTGTGTCAATCCTCCTTCAAAGTAAGGATAAGAGTAACAGGTCTTAGGTCTATTTGATTATTATCGAGCGTGGCAAAGCCAGGAGAATTATTTTGCAATTGGCAATATATGTGCAAAGGCATCCCTTAATTGGAAGGGTGGAATGCAACTTTTGACAACTATCCTTAATTGGTTTGGTTTGGACTTTGTGTAAATGGTTAAATGTGCTATTTTATCCCTCACCTTATTTTTTCTTCCTCCCTTTTCCCGTTACTAATGTAATTTCCACATAGTACAAATCAACTAAGAAAATAGCTTTAAGAGTATAATTCCAGGATACAAAATTATTTGTCAATGGACATGCTGGACGTTTATGTGGAACAGATCTTCCTAAATTATTTGTCTTAAGGCTATAAATGTAAACTTTGCTTTTTGCTACTGCATGATTTTCTATTTCTACCTGCATTATTATCATGAGTAATTAACTTTCAAGAAAAAGGCTAATTGGCATCCTCCGGGAACAATTTTTGATGACTGCACTATCACATAGAACTACGTTCTTGTTGTCCTTGTCATGTGTTTCTTCTAATAAAAGTCGCAAATGATGGCCTTGAACTCGTTAGGCACTTCCACTTCCCGAAGAAACAAAAACAAATCTCTCAAAACATTGCCTTGCACTGTCCGTAAATGTCAACGAGTGAGTTCTGTTTTGGTCAAGTTGATGCCGGATTGCTAAGCCAACTGCCTCTTCATCAGTCAATCCAATATATATTATATTGTGACCTCTCTTTTTTTAAATGAAGTCGCATTCTTACCTGGCAGCAACAAAAGTAACAGGAACTCGAAATTGCGCTTTTGGGCCTGTTTATTTAACAGGTTAGCCAGCCTCTCTGCAGGCCCTTTTATGGTAGTTCCAAGCAGGTTTTCTTGTGTTAATACATGCTGCAACAAAATATACTTATTTCTCTCATCTCGTCTGATTGCATCGTGACATTTTTGGTCGCTTCGTATAAATTGCATAAGCCAGCTTTACTCAACAAGCAGATATTATCGAGTGAGTTTACTTGTGATGTCCCTATCCAGACCATGAAATTACATTTTACATAAATGTGCTTTTTTTTCTTACTAGTATGTAGAACTTCCCTTATGGAGAAGGATATTGGACATTGGATTTTTCAGAGAAACAAATCTGGCTGCAGTTTCTCTGTTATGAGATTTCTTCAAATCCGTCAGCTCACAGATCTCTTGGTATTGATTGTCAATGCATTTTTCCAAAGATCTTAGGGACTTAAGTCAATTAGTGGTTTTGTTACAAACTTGAAGTGTATCAAGCCGTGATTTTGTAAAGCTAAGAACACCTTAAAAAGTTGAAAAACTGAGAACAGGTCTTTGTTTTTCCTTTTAACCTAGTTGTCTTGACATCACTGTATTTACGAATAAAATCTATACTCATTTTATTGATAGGCATACTTGTGTTAAAACATTTTTTGCTACCACTTAGTGATCCTCCATTTATAAGAGTATGAAGTCAATGATGGTGTTTTTTGTTGTAGTCAAAAGTCCTCGAAGGTTGAATTGTCCTTTTTGATCTGGTGCCAAATATGGCCATTTGAAGTTTATTTTTTAACATTCTGTTTTGTGATTGGAGATACCATAAACCTTGAGGAATGCAGTCTTTGAAACTTTGCAAAGCAGTATAAAAGGTCATGTATGTTATTTTTCGTTTACCCGTGGGCGTGATCTTCACTTTAACAAGTTTTGACAGGAGGTAATTTTTTATTGTATTGCTTAATATTAAGCAGCCCCCTTTCCTTCCATGGGTTAAGTGAAATACCCTAATAATATTAATTTACACTCCGCAAGCTTGTCTTAAATATTGCATGAACAATTGCTACCGTCAAAATTGTTTTACCAGTGGATTTTCGCCTTCCTCCTGTGATATACTTTAAGATGTGAGGGTGCTTTAGCTTCAAAGTTACAGCCATCAGGCTTAATTAATAGTCCCAAGATGTCAAATTTTTAATGTGGATGTAAGCTGATGCAGTTTCATTTTGTATCTCCAAAGCTGTCTAGTAAAATCACACACATAAGGCAGTGTGCCGTAAAATAAACTCTACTTTTAGTCTCTACGTTTAGTCCATGATCAAATATCTTGAAGATGAGTATAATGCAGTGAAGCAGGCATTTTTGAGGACATTTTCTGATGTAAAAAGTCAGCATTTCCAAACTGGCGTACTTAACTCTGATCTTCCCGCTATGATTTTGTTCTACATGTGTTTGAGTTAGAATTATGTTTTATGCTTGTAAAGTTGATGTATAGCAAGACTTTTGTAATTCAAGTTTACAATAAAAAGCAATTCTCAGCGATGGCCGAAAAAAAAAATATTAGTAAACTTCCCGATGGTGAAAATAAAGGTCCTCTCAACTTATCCAAATCTTTTTTTGAGAACCGGATGTGGCCACTAGTTCATTGGCTTGCGAAGAGCTCATTCCCTGTTGTTGGCTTTTAGTCGGGATGTTTCAACACAGGGAACCACCGAACCACAGGAAACCGAATGATTAGAAAGGCTCGCAACAAATATGTCTCTTGTTCCTCTTCCTTGTTCCTCCTTTTCATATTACATAAATAAAATTATACTGTTTTTCGTCCCACAAGTGAGCCTCTAATATAACTTGAAAAAAAAAATTGATTTACTTGCACCTGCCAGCATAAGCCTTGATTGGCTCCGAACTCAGAGTAACATCTTTGCAGAGGGAGATCCAGGAATTTGTCCTTGGGGTCGGGGGAGGGCCAAATTGTGGTTCAGAAAGGACTGTTAAACTTTTTTTGTGGCAAATTACTTTTCCCCACACCCCCTCCCACTTTTCACTGAGAAGGCAGAGACGGCTACGTGTTTCTCAATCTGTGAAAGCCAGCCGTTGGCGCGGGAAATACACAGATTACTGAGGGTACCCAAAGACAATCACATTTTTGAATATCCCTGGAATGTAGTTTGGTGGCAAAATACAACACGCGTTTCATTAAAAAATCCAGGGGGGGGGGGGTCCGGACCCCCTGGAGACACCACTTCTTTGGTGTCCTTTGATATCCTTTCTACAGCATTCAGTAATTCGAACACACCAATTGCTAACTATAGATGCACGTTCTGAACTTGAAACCAAGAGAGGAGAAAGGCGACAGAGAAGGCATCCCCCATACACACCCTATTCCATAGGTAATTCGTCTGGAGTTATTTTTAGAATCGGGATAGAAGTTACCTCGCGCGCTGCGTGGATGTTTCGTGGAGGTTTCGCATGACTACTTCCAACTGTCCACATAAATCCTTTATCTCTTCTTCCGAAAGACTCTTGTTCCGTTTATTTGATTTCTTCGGCGCCTTTTTGCTTGATTTGATGACGGTCGAACTCGAAGGCGCAGGTTTAGGCTTCCCTGCACTTTTCCTTCTCTTCGCTAGCTTCATCTGTTGAACTATCATCGGAATAGGAGCTTTCTACGTTTTCTTGTATTTCATTGGCACTCTCCGTTTCGGTTACAGCTTCCTCCTTGCTTGCACTGACTTTTATCATCTTGTTCGCTAGAACCCTCAACTTCGCTCGAATCAACGTCGTAACAATGCTTAGAAACAAGCCTGGAAGGGTGATTCTTTTTTAATTTCCGTTTCGCTGACACAGCTTGAGGAGAAATCTCCCTGTAGTCGTTTTCGTCGACAAAGCGAATAGCAATATCGCTCTCCGCGTCTTCCACCATTTTGTTCTGCGTCAATTCGTGAGGGACGCGTGGCTCTGAGCGTGGGTCATCCACGCGGAACACATTCGCGCTATGTGATTGGCTGTTGTCTAATCCCTTTTGGGATCTGTGGTCTTAAAGATAACTCGTGACGAATAACCTATGGAATAGGGTGTGTATTGGGGATGCCTTCTCTGTCCCCTTTATCCTCTCTTGCTTGAAACACAATAATTATAAACAGGAGATAAAATAAAAGAAGTGCACAGCGCCCCTCCAGCAAAAACAGGGGAAAAAGTCATTCTTTTCTTTAACTAGTTACAAAAGATACAGTCCAAAGCTAGTTTTATTTCATAAATGTTTTAGCGCACAGCATGGNCAGGTTTAGGCTTCCCTGCACTTTTCCTTCTCTTCGCTAGCTTCATCTGTTGAACTATCATCGGAATAGGAGCTTTCTACGTTTTCTTGTATTTCATTGGCACTCTCCGTTTCGGTTACAGCTTCCTCCTTGCTTGCACTGACTTTTATCATCTTGTTCGCTAGAACCCTCAACTTCGCTCGAATCAACGTCGTAACAATGCTTAGAAACAAGCCTGGAAGGGTGATTCTTTTTTAATTTCCGTTTCGCTGACACAGCTTGAGGAGAAATCTCCCTGTAGTCGTTTTCGTCGACAAAGCGAATAGCAATATCGCTCTCCGCGTCTTCCACCATTTTGTTCTGCGTCAATTCGTGAGGGACGCGTGGCTCTGAGCGTGGGTCATCCACGCGGAACACATTCGCGCTATGTGATCGGCTGTTGTCTAATCCCTTTTGGGATCTGTGGTCTTAAAGATAACTCGTGACGAATAACCTATGGAATAGGGTGTGTATTGGGGATGCCTTCTCTGTCCCCTTTATCCTCTCTTGCTTGAAACACAATAATTATAAACAGGAGATAAAATAAAAGAAGTGCACAGCGCCCCTCCAGCAAAAACAGGGGAAAAAGTCATTCTTTTCTTTAACTAGTTACAAAAGATACAGTCCAAAGCTAGTTTTATTTCATAAATGTTTTAGCGCACAGCATGGGAGAATTTCTTCCCTCCTTCCCAAATGCGCTGGGCAGAATTACGTGACGTGACATGCTTTGCATGACTGCACTGAAAGCTAGTTTGCCTGTGGCAGTTCGAAAGTTGTTTCGTTTTGCTGTGGCGGCAAGTGAAATTGTTACAGTTATGACTTCAAATTCTTTATTCATTTCCTTCTGGAGGTCTTTCCGAGAAATCTTCTGACAAGTTCTATGGACTCTTAAACTAACACAGTCTCAGGTGGGTATCGTTGGGTTAAAAATTGTTAATTCGTTATGGATCAGTCAATTCCACCTGCGCCCAGCCCTCGCCCCGGGCTACTGCGGGGCATTTGCCCGCCTTGTCAGTCCCGCTGGTGGGGATTTGCAAATTTTGCACTGCCCAGCTGCCGGGAATTTGCCAATCCCCGGGCCATTCCCGAGCTTTTGACACGCACTCGGTTTCCTATCAGAATATAACTACATAGAAGGTTTTAGTGGAAAAAATCAGATTGGCTCATCTGTCAAGCACAGGAATAAATTGTAGAGGGTTGTAAAGGCATGTTCTCGATTTTACATGTATGTACGCATTTCTTCATTGCAGGTGGAATTGACTGATGCATTAAATCGCTGCAAAAAAAAATTCAGAAAACAGAACAGATTTAATACTCGTGACTTTTCTTGTATTTTTTACTGCTTTGTGGACTTTTTGACACTTTTTACTTTAACTCAGTTTTATTTTAAAAAAATCTATACACATTTCGGACCAATATTGTTTCGAGAAGTTACCGAATAATTAAGGTTTGGCGCCTACCGTAATTCGCATTTGGTTGTGCTTCGGTCAGAGCTCACTTTTTTCGTCCGTTTTAAGTGTAACATTTACATTTGCTTCACTTTGTCAGCGCTCGTGATTTCATTTACCCGAAAATTTTATTTTGCTAATTTGAAGAAAAAAGAATGCTCTTTCAGACTAAGCAAGCCTTGGTGTTCAAAGCCATGTACCAATCCACTTTTTTACCTTGTGAAAAATTAGTAAATTTTGACGGTTGATTAAACGATTTCGAGGCAACAACTTTAAAAATTTCTTAAAAAATCCCCTGTTGACCAAATCGCCAACTAATCAGTTAAAATTATAGAGGAAAGATAGTAAAAATATGAAGTGTCATTATATCTTAGTAGCCAACTTTATTTTAAAATGTACGAGTTACTGAATATTATTCTAATTTCGCATGGTTTTTGCCCATTTTAGGCCTTGGGAAGAAAAAAATTCGTTAGAAAAATATTGACTCAATCGTACTTAAACCAAGGATTTTGTAACGACGACCCATAGGGCTTTATTCTGGATGAGTTTGAGGCCAGGTCATTTTTTGACTATTTCCACTTCTAGTTGATATTTACGCGGAGCCGCTCTTAAATTGGCGTTTTGCTGCAAGTGATTTATAGTTGCCATCAAGGTTAGTTTGCCATTGATATCTCCTTAGTAGGGATTGACTCTGAAAATAGACAATAAAAAGGTACTGATGTGTGCAACTTTACACAACGTTAGAATAATCCACTATTATCTATAACATATTTAGGAGCTGTTGGTCTCCTGACCAAGTGGAAATGGCAAAATAATTGTTTAAGATTCCTCTGAGAGCTAAGTAAGAAAGGCGGCAGTCAAAAATTAAAGTCAAAACAATGGTAAAAAATCTGTATCTTGGAGGCTGTTAAAATAGTTAAGGGTTAATTAGTTCAAGCCAGATACTTACACCAGGCTTTGTCCCCTGTGATGTATGACCACGATGGCTTTGCCTTGTGTTGCATACTCTGCTTCGCGTTTGGCTGCCTCCGATAGGAAAATCAGCTTTCCTATGTAGTTGACCACCACCTCTCCTCTTTTGACGTCGTGGCTAGCAAAGGCAGATTTTCTCATGCCTTGCAAGTCACTTGTGATGTTGTGAACTTGTCAACAAAAGTGCAGATACTGATCAGTTATGTCGGACCCTTCATTAAATCGGATGAAATTATATTTAATAAACAAGGAGGGAAGGAAAGAAGGAACCTTGCATCAGCCCTCACGTCGATTGGTGGAACTGGTGGGGGATGCCTAGCCATGAACATAGAGATGCTCCTTAACATCTGTTCACCTCCAAATGCATCGCCAGTGAGTTGACAGGTGCATTGAAGCGTCACAGCAGAGTATCCGCTAGTCTGCGGCCTTATGTTAAAAATGTCACTCCCGTGAAAATTTCATGATCATTTCAGTTTCTTTGCTAAAACGCATTGTTTAGAGCATGCAGATTTCAAAAAACTTTGTCACCAATTTTTTAGCAATGGTGACGTCATCCATACGCAAATTAGATCTGACATCATTATTCAGTGTCACAAACTTTCATATAAAGGCAACAGAGAAATATATTTCATTTATGTAGTCTCAATCATCGAAATAAATGTTCTGTAATTAAAAATAGTAATTTCCAACTGTCTTCTAAGTAAACAAACGAATAGATGATCTTTTTGGTGACCTTATTTTAATAAGTACATTGCGATAATCATTCGCTTTATCTGCTTTAAGGAGAAATCTTTATAAAATGAAAATTTTTGCACTCTGTAAGGCTCTTTTAATCGTGCTTTTTTGTTTCTCTTTTCTTTTTGATGTGGATTTATTTATTCACATTGAGTGTACATTGTGTAATAAAATAATGAAAGAGGAGAAGTGACTGGGCTCCCTGTGCTTGGGGAACAAAATAACTTATTACATCTTTATTTACTCTGACAAGTATATATCAACATCATGGGTGACATGTCTATTATTCATTATAAATAAAGAAAGTTCAAGGTGCAATACAAATCATAAAGGATATATAAGGCTGCATTTCCACATTTGAGCCTCTTTCTTCTTTGGCTTTAATCGGGTCGGCCATTTTGTATTTTTCCATTACGGGAATAGAATCAACAACTTGTCCTTGATTACATCTTCAATTCCAAAAGGTGGCTAAATTGAGACTTTATTCTGTTTATTATTGTGAACCAATAATACTGGAACCAGATTTTGGAATAAAATAACTTCTTCTTTGCTTCTTATTCTTCAGTTCAACTTGTTACGTTCTATACCTATATACACTTCCGTTATGGGAACAGGAGCAACTGATTACATCTTTGACTCCAAAAAGCCGCAAAATTGAGACTTTGGTTAGCTGATTATTTTGCAACATTACCAAATGTCTATTATCACACTGAAAAGTCACAAACATGCCTGGGGAACTGATAGTTATTTAAACTGACTTACAGTTAATTGCATTTTTGTGATTTCGCTGTGCAGCTGATTACTTTATTTCTTTTCTTATAAACTACTCTAATTTGAGTAGGCAGTTTTAGAATTGCTTCTTCAATTAAATCTTTGGATATATTATTTTCTTGATGTTTTTGCTCTATGAGAGCAAACACGTGCTTAATTGTATCTCCAGACATTTTGAGAGTTACTTTTTCTTTGTTAGTAATTTTAAATAGAACTTGGGTAAACCATTTATTTGTAGGACTAATCTTAGACTTGTACCCTGAAGAAGACAGCATTGCCAAAACGTCGGTTAAGGCTCCTAAAATAACAGCCTCGATTTTACAATTTTCGAATTAACAGAGGACGTCAGCAGACTGATTTACCGCCAGTGGCGGGATGAGATTGCAGCCGGTGGTTTTGTTAGGTTTTACTTTGGGTGACAGTTCTCTAACTTCCAGAGCATTAAAATTAGTAAGAGAGATATTTACAGCTACAAGTCGGTTCTGGGTGATGTGAGACAAGTCAGGCGAAATATGTAGTCATCTCGTGTAGTATTAGTGAACAAATCATTCAGGGTTTCGCACACTTGAAGTTGATCTGTGATGATTTGTTCTTTGTTCGCTATAGGCATTCTTGCGTGAATTTACATACGGTTTTATGGTACTCCAAACCTTCTTTTGGTCACCTTTTTTTTCTTTGCGGAGATGTTTGAAGTGAGCGTTCATGGCATTTCTCCTGATGGTAACGACCCTATTTTGCATGACACGATACTTTTCCCAGTCAGTCGATTTTCTTGTTTTATAGTATCTATGTGTCTTGCTGTCTAATCCTCTGCC